GATACATAATGCTAACCACTGTAATAATGAGTGCAAAAATCTCAGTAATTTATATTCTGAGAATTTATCATTCAGACAAGGTCCAGTGGTTATTCCTGGTCAGGCAGCCTTCCCCTTGCACCAGGCTGCTCCTACTTATGGCTCTGTCCATCTCAAAGATCCTCTCCATTCAGCTAGTGCAGGGGTCAGCAAACTATTTCTGTAAAAGGCCAAATAATAAATATTTTAGCTTTGTAGGCCATATGGTCTCTGTCACAACTACTCAACTCTATCGTAGCACAAAAATAGCCATAAACAAATAAGCATGGCTGTGTTACAACAAAACTTTATTTACAAAAACAGGCAGCAAGCCAGATTTGGCCCCCAAGCCTACTTTGCCAATCCTGGTCTGGAGTGGGGGGGAAGAGAGACAATATGGAGGATTGTGTAAGAGGACAATCCATGAGTGGGATGTGGATGTGGTGGACATCTCACCCACTAACTCTTTAACAAGCCAGTACTTGCTCACATGTCTTCACCTAACTGAAGGGTCTAAGCTACATCCCAGTTTAAAAAGAAACCAACCAATAATTTTGGTTTGAAAACACCCATTATTTCTACTTTTCAGTAAAAAGACAGCCCAGTGTTAAATAATTTGTTTAAAATTAATTTGTAAAATTATTTTTACATTATTTATAATTCATTATTTGTTAAATCATTTATAATTTGTTTAAAAATAAGTTATGAGCAAATTATTAAAAATGGTATAACAAACATCCAGGCATATTTGTTTTCAGAAATGATATACTGCTGATAAAAAAAAAAAAAGAGCATTTCCTTACAAATTGTGGGATAAACCATACAAATTAGTTGACAATTTATTTGATAAATATTGATGAAAAATTAGTTGATACTGATGATTCTAAATCACTTGTGATTTATAATTAAAAAGCAAGAGTAGCAGCTATTTTAAAACACAAATTCAATGCCAGCAATAAACTGATAAAACATTTTCCTGAAAATTACGAGAACTCCAACTATATTTACATGTATGTGTGTAGCAGTTTTGCAGCATGTCAAACGTTAGATAGCATCCTGACTTCTTAGCAGAAAGTTGATGTGGCATTGATGGCGTGTACAATGCTGTATACTCACTAAACCCAATTCAGCTTTCTTCTGGGTACACAGAACCACAGCTCTTAACCGGCTACAGTGAGGCTGGGACATGATTGAGCTCTGGCCAACAGGACATACGTAGAAGTAACGCACACCACACCGGGCCTGGCACACAGAAATGGTGCCCCCATGATCTTCCCCACTCTTCCCCTGCTGCACTGATCTTGGAGGCCATGTGTTAAATGGCAGCATCAAAGGAAGGAAGAAGCCAGGTTCATGAGAGGTTGCGTAGAGCTGGATGAAACCATGGAGCAAAGCACCCACCTCTTCCATGCCCATCTCAGTGATCTGCTTTGCACCAAGAGTACACAATAAACCTGTACTGTGATAAGCCACTGAGATCTGGGGTTGTTTATTATAGCTGATAACCTACCCTAATACAGAGTTCTTAATAGATGCCAGAAAAGTGCTACTTAGATTATAAATATTAAAATTTAGTAATCCTTTAAAATTCACTTATATTTTTTAATTATGTTTAGTCCCACATAAAAATGTATACATTTGCCTCCATGCATCTCTTTTCAGTCTATCAGAAAGATCTTCATAGCCCACTCTGTGCTGGAAGCAGGAGACTAATGGAAAGAAAGTAACATTTTAGAAAATTGGTCTACACCACTGTGTTCATTTATTCAACATTTCTAACCCCAACAAAGCATCCTGCCGGAGATTAAAGGCAAAAAGATGAATGAAACGCAAGCCCTGCCCTCAAACTGTTCATGCCAGTGGGAGAGAAAAGTGACTTAGCTATTAGCAAACAAGGTTACGCCCATATAATATTTACGTAAGAAAACATTGCAGTAAAGGGAACAACTACCTCTTCCTTGAAGAGTAGGAAGGGCTTCAAAAAAGAGGCACGTGAAAGACTTCCGATTAGTAACTTAGGAAGGAAAAGTGTTGCGAAGAGCCCTGTTCTTTGCTGAAGTAACCCAACATAACGCCTGACTAATTTCCTCTATCACTTTTATGCAAAGCTAAAGGACCTATTCCAAGATCAAAAGCAAAATGTGGTATTTTTGTGATTTCCAAGGTGATTTCTTCAGGTGGACTTTATTTACATTAAAAATTAAAAACTCTTAACTTCTAAAAAAGTGTTTCTTAGTACACTTAGAAATGTGGGGCATACAAGAAAATTCTCCAGTTTTACTCATACACATTATTCACTCAGAGGGTAATAATATGGTTCCTATGTACCTGCAAACACAGGTGAGTCAGCTCACTCACCAAGAACAAAATCCAGTTCTGCAGCTACATATTTTACTCTTACCTTTGTTCAGCATTCTCACAAATGCTGGCCACAAGATACAAGGAAATTCTGTAAATAGATCTATTTAGCACTCCTGGAAAAACACCACATGTGTCTTAGTGATGTGAGCCTATAGCTTCAAAAGGGCGTGTGGTTTGGGTGTTGATATGGGAAATTTTATATGTCCCAGATAACTGAGGGATGATATTGGAAAGATCAATGGGAATACACTGCTACCTTGACAATATCCTTCCAAATTCCACACACGATAAAGCTGCTTGCCAAAAATGTGAACTGCACTCTCTTTCGAGGTCTATTTACATTCAATCCTTTTTTATACTATTAATTAGAGCTACCCCTTTATTGCAATCGGTTTATAACACAAAAAGAATAACTTCCCAGGAATCTATAAATATCTTCAAATCTGGCATCTCATAAATATGAATAAGAGAAAGTCTTAAAACTAAAAAAAAAAGATTTGTTTTACATACTTACAATCATTTTATACATATATCATAAACAGCTCTAAATTGATAAAAACAGCATTAATATTAAAGTAATCCAAAACAAACCCTAAATCTGTCAAAATGTTGTGCTCACTTTTAAAACCCATGGCAGTCCATGTAAACAGCCCAAGTATAGGGCAATTAAAGATTTGAGGATATTTATTTTTCCATATGCTGCCATAACTTAAAAACATTATTTTCCTACTAGTACTCATTTTCTTGCTTTTCTTTGACTCTAAAATTATCTAAATTACCCGATCTCCAACTCATCTCAGATAGCTGTTTCCAACAATCTTCTGCAAAAAAAGTTCAGTAAAGGGGGAAAAAAGCAAATATGTTTCTACTTACCCTTATAATTTAAGATTTAATGCAATACATAAAGTACACTATGTAAAATACCAAAATAAAACATTTTAGAATAGTATATCAAAACTGTGAACTCTTCAATAAAATATTGATATCATATGATAAAAATGTATTTCTCCAGAGTATAGTCTATAAATAAAACTGAATGATACTTTCTAAAACAACAGAAAATACCCATTTATTGATAAAACAAAAGAAATGCACATTTCTCTTTGAAAATTTTAAATGCATGTTTTTTTTAACATGTCATAGAAGATATACAAGAGAGTGATGAAGAGCATAGCCTAAAAGGGTGATTTTTAACACTATATTTTCCATTTATAGTGGGACAAAACAAAGCACTGTTTTTGAATAAAATATGACATGACAATACGTAAAACAAAATAGCAGGCACCATCTATGGATTCTCTATTTGGGGCCTGGCTTTGTACTATGTACTTTATATATCATTTATCCTCACTGACTCCTATCAAGTGGGTATTATTTTCCTTATTTCAAAGGTGGAAATGTTGAGGTTTATAGAGATCATGGTACTCCTAAGCCAGGATTACCATGTAGGTCTGCATACTATACATTATTGCCTTGAGGAAAAAATTCAGTTACATGGCCAACAGTCTACCATGCTCTTCCATGATAATTATAGTCATCCCTTGGTATCCTTGGGAGACTGGTTCCAACAACACTGAGGATACCAAAATCCATGGATGCTCAAGTCCCTTAAATAAAATGGTGTAGTATTTACATATAACCTATGCATATCCTCCCATATATTTTAAATCATCTCTAGATTACATAAAATATCTAATACAATGTAAATGCTACATAAATAGTTATCATACTGTATTGTTTAATATTTCTGATCGAGCATTCATTGAACCCTTAAATATGGAACCTGAGATACAGAAGGTTGACTGTACTTAAGATTTCAATAAATTCACCTTTTTCTTTCCCTGAGGTTTCCTTAATCAGCTATTTTATCAGTCACTTCTGCAAAATCCATAATCCACATATATTGTAAGTATCTAGTTCCAACTTCTACTAAGGAATAATAAAAGTACCATTATGTCATAACTAAGAACTTGAGTTTGAAAGTCTAGTCTTTATCATGATAGGAACTATTTCGATGACTATAAATCATCATACAAATTATCATACAAATCATCATACAAATTATAGTAGCCATTAGGGTCACTTAATTCTAATAAACAAACACTGACAAGTAAAAACTGCTTCTGAACAATCATTTAATAAGGATAGTTAGCATCTACTATGAAAATCATTAATACTTAACTTAGGCCAGTATTTCTTAAAGAATAGACAATGGGTTACTATTGGTCCACTAATCCTCTCCAGACAGTCCATAGACTAATCCCTAGAAAAGATCTAGAAACATATCACCTAAATTCCTGGCTTGAATTAACACCCACCGGTGATTCTGATGTCTCATCAAAAGCCATGTTGTTCTCTCCATAAGTTTTGGTGAGTTTCTGGCTCTCATAAGTGGAAGTAGACTAGCACAGGGAGTAAGAATCTTTCATCCTTCTAAGATAAAAAGTTCCATTTCAAAGATGTATGCAACACTGCCTGGCTCTATAATTATTTATAAAAATAAGATTTTTTTTTCAAGTAAAATAAAGGGAATTTAAAATAATCAAGTATTCAAAAGAAGTATTTGACACTTTCAAATACAAGATTTTCCAATAGTACAACTTCCCCCATAGTGAGCTTACCTTGAAGATGGCATTATATTTGAAGCCCTGAATTTTGCTGTAAACGGATTAGTTGACTCATAATCAAAATAGTCCTGACGATTTTCACTAAACGCATTAGGTGATTTCAAGTCACAAGGGCTATCAGATCCCCCATTGTTAAGTTTATCAGATCTTCTGCTATCTTTTTTTCCAGTCACTCTTTCAAACAGGCTAACTTTCTCCCTTTTTTCTCTTTTATTTTCTTTTTTTACTTCAATTGATTTCGAAAATAAATTCATGCTGCTGTCCCATGACTCACTGCTTTCTTCAAATGGATTTTTCTTCCTTGGCAGTGTTGCAAATTTTTGGGGTAATGAAGCAGTCACATTTGTAAATGGGTCATTTTGTCTTCCAAAAGACAATTCACCTTCATCCACAATGCTGTCAGGTTGGTTCATTTTAGAAGTATCAAAGCTTAATGTTCTTCTGTGTGGAGATTTGAGACTTCCTACAAACAATTTCGTAGTTAGTACATAATCAGCAACACATTACATCACACTACTTGACACATCCTGTGTATATTCTGCTGCTTTTAGAATGAGAGCAATTAGCTATTTAAAGGTATTAACCTTCAAAATAATCAATGAAAACAATCTTAAAATGTTAAGGTGTAGCAGTCTGAAGTATCTAGACTAATAACAGTGTATTGCTAGACAATTAGTAATTTATTCGACTCACAAACAATCATATAAACTATAATGTCAAAACTAGAGGTTCTGCTTGCATCATAATGCTAGAAATTCTCAAAGACTTTTTTCCCCCATCATTAGCACTAAATTTGGTTCTTCTGAACATAAAAGTTTTTTTCTAGGGACTTGATGATGAAATGGAATATTCACTTATGCTTCAGACTTTTGAGACAGGAGTAACAGCAGGAAACAAAAAAAGCAGGCAGGCCATAAAAGAAGACTGACAGGCTGGGTGCGGTGGCTCACGCTTATCATCCCACCACTTTGGGAGGCTGAGGCAGGAGAATCGCTTGAGCTCAGGAGTTCAAGACCAGCCTGAGCAAGAGCAAGACCCCATCTCTACTAAAAATAGAAAAATTAGCCGGGTGTCCTGGTGCCCCGGGTTACTGGGGAGGCGGAGGGAGGAGGATCGCTTGAGCAAGGAGTTTGAGGTTGCAGTGAGCTATGACAATGCCACTGCACTCTACCCAGGCGACAGAGTCAGATTCTGTCTCAAAAAAAAAAAAAAGGAGACTGAGAGTCATTTTATTATCATCTAATAACATAAATACAAATGTAGACTAGCACTGCCTTCAACGAACTTATCAATTTTGGGTATAGCAGGTACTCAACCAATATGTGATGAATGACTACATTTAGAAAATACTTCTAAGAAACTGCAATTTGTATTTTCTAACATCAAAAGTTAAACTTTTTAAAAATGAAAAGTATAGTTCAGACCACTGAGGATACAATTAGAAAGAATGTGTCACTTACCAGTTTCTGGAACCATTCCAAAGGAATCTATCTGGCGTCCAAGAAGATGTGTTTGACCTATGGCGCTAGACTTCAGTTTCTCAGAAGACATGTGGGACCCAGATAAATCGGACATTGAATGCGCTGACGAGAGGCGCTGAGGACCCAAAAGAAAAGGCTTTTTCGGTTTGGATTTCATCTGCATTTCACCACTTGAAAATTCACTGTTGGCATCAGGCATGTGAGTACTTGGAATGATTGCAGAAGATGTATCAGAAAATGTCCCATCATTTTTTCTACCTTTCATTTTATCTTTTAATTTTGCAAAAGGAGATCTTGTTTTGTCCTTCATTGATAAGTCAAACATACTTGCTGTCATGTTGTTCCTCATAAATTGAATACTGACCTTTATCTCACCCCTGTTTTTGGCTCTTTTTCCTTGTTTGGATTCTAATCTAAACCACCTTAAAGAGAAAGGAAAAAATGGGTTGTAACACATAATGAAGAGAAGATATTAAGCTCTGTTATACACAATTAGCTTTTTAGGCAGAGCAATCTAAGCACTCAATGAGAATATGTCAGCCAGAATATTTCTGGGTTTACTCACGGTTTGATTTAAAAAAGTGATCATTATTTCTGTGATGTAACATATACTGAAAGAATAGGCCTTTAGCAAATTTAAAAAGGTTTTTAGATGACCTTTTCTTTCATGATCTAAAAATCACTCATCATCAAAAATTCTTATCAATGATAGCTAATATGTTTCCATATGGGATAAGTGTTGCTAATGGCCTAAGGACATTTGTTAACATTTAAAGACACCGAGACAGAGACTTTGAAAAAAATTCATCAGTACAAATTATTTTTGAGCACTGTAAAATGACAAATGCTGATGACATTTTAATAATAAATACTTAGCCCGTATCTCAAAATATTACTTGTATAAAAGTATTAAAAGAATTTTATTAATACTGGAGACTACTATATATAGCTTGCTCATCATTAAAACTGGATATGATATAATTTAGATGCATATAAAATGAATGAAAGCCTTTTCCTGAATAAAATACGCAAAGTAAAATGCAAAAAGTGACAAATAATAAATCTTGTGAAAAGTTTTCGAAGGAAAAAAAAGTCTAAATACTTCCTGTTAGAATGAAGCTAAGTAAATAGCTTCATTTACTACTATTGTGACAATACCAAATAAAAATTATTTTATAAATAGAGCTAAATCTTATACTTTTAGTTACCTCAATGTATTACATTGCCCATATTTAAATGATCTATAAGAAGAAAAGTTTATTTTGGTATTGTTTATAGTATTTTTATTCATGAGAAATTCTCCAGTTGTTGGTGTCACAAGTGGTCATTCTACAGGGCAAACAGCCAAAAAACTGCAAAATCAAGCCTAGAAGAGAGTTTCTACAACGTTTTCACATTACTTAGCAATGAAGCATAATATTCATTCCTGCAGACAGGTTACTATTTAAATACACCACTAATCAAGTGTAACAAATTTGCTTAGTGACAAAGGAACTCTGATCTAATTTTACATAAGTTCTTTCTCTCATTGTTACCAATAGGATATGCTAGGAGAAGATTACATTTACTGTACATCAAATAGGAGACCGGTTCGCAAGTCTTCCCAGGAAGGGCAGAGAACTGGCACATAATGTAAATACCAGCTACATCTTAGCAAGTAACATGCAACAGAAATATTTTCCTGATTAACTAATTTGCAGCAATTTAATCAATGAAGATATAGTTTCATCAAAACTACCAATTTTTTAGAATAGAATATTTTATAATAAAAAGCATTAACCTGACACCCTAAACTGAGAAAATCCCTTATGTGAGGCAAATGGTAAAATCTGAAGAAACAAGGGCTAGAAATAGGAAATGACAGCAATAAACTCTGTGGAAGAGAGAACTCTGAAATGACACAAAATTGGGCACTCCAAAAGCCTAGAAATGAAACAAGGTTATATATCCAGTATTAACTCACAGTTTTGGAAAACAGAACCATTTTCAACAGGAGGAGTAGTACTTGTGATAGATAGTATCTCAGAAATACTCTGTAACATCTCAGGCTACATAGAAAATAGGTGAATACACTTTGCAAGAAATACACCAAAATACAAGCAAACAAAAACAAGCATGCAGGACTTCCATGTATATAACAAACCAAAGTATTTGGGAAGAAAATAAACCAATAACCCAAAATTGGAAGGAGGTGAGGGTAGTCAAAACTCACAGAATTTTAGAAATAGGACCAAACAAATCATCTACTTTAATATCCTTATTTCACTGATGAAGAAACTGAGGCACAAAGAATGATACGTAACTTCCCGATGTCAGATTAAAGTCATTAAGGAAAAAATCTAAAGCTGACGAATAACATCTGCAGGAAAACAGAAGTTCTTTCTTATGTGATGAACTACGTATGTTAATAAGGTTAATAACCACGTGGCTGGCACATATTTCAAGGACACTGTATTTAATCAGGAGCCATGAGAGCTGAAAAGGAAGGCAATGAAATTTTTTCTATTGCTAGAGTGTGTAAGCTCCTTGAAGGCAGTTTGCCTTGCACTGAATAAATGTTCATTCAATTTTTATTTCTAGAACTGTATTCTTAAAACAACCAAGCCACAACATTGTGTGTGTGTTTTGTATTGTTTTGTTTTTTAGTAGGAAACTCTAAAGACCTGGGTAGGTTTTAAAGAACAACGTCAGTGTTTGAATACAAACTATAAATACAGTATTAGTTTCCACCCCCCCCAAAAACAAAACTGCAAAGAACTTTAATAAATATACTAATTGAAAAAGTAGGAATGACAAATAACTTGAGCTGCTTTGTTTTGAAACTGATATAATAGGGAAGTCTTAATAAGATCAAGAATCATTCCAGAGATAGCATTTGTTTTCCTAGGCTTCAAGGAGATAAAAGGAAGACATAGCATTTGGGGCTTACTGGATTAATGCTGATATTTTTTTCACCTCTGGAGTGCTGCATTTAAACTGTATATGGCCTCTGTTCAATTTTTAGTGGGCACAGGTCCATGTTCAAAAACCACCACACATGTGGTAACTATTCCCAAGCAATTGGTGCTGTGTGGTCAGAAATGGGACAAGATTGGCAGTAAGGGTGCCAGAGGCCAGGACGCAGGTGCACTGCACAGACACACGTAAGCCCTAAAATCTGCATATGTTTGAGTCATATCTAACTCTAGAGACTCTGATTGTTATTACTTTTCATGACATTAAAAAAAAAAAAAATCAACATCACCTACTTCTATTGCAAAAAAAAAAATCAATGAATATTACATAACAGCATCAATGATTTTACCATTCTATTATTAAATATTGCATTATTTCCTTAAATCTCATGCCAGAACCAACCCAGACATCCATTAAAGAGAGAGCTATAGAAGTTCTCTTTCCATGCCCACTCAAAGGGTTCTGGCTCAGACCCTTTTTCCCCTTTCCTCCAAAGAAAAAAAGTATTTATTTTCAAAGTATAAAAACAAGTAAACAAGTTTTAGCCTCCACATTTCTTTGTCTATCATGATACAACTAGAAAACAAGCTGTAAATACATGTTTTCGGGGTCAAAAAGTAAAAAGTGTGACACTCAGCAGTTTCATGGGACTTCGCAATCAGCTGGTAGCCTTGGTCACTCAAACCAGTTTTCTAAAAAGCACTTGGGAGTATGCTGACAAGGTTTAGCTATGTGCAGGATATTAAATATCTTTCTTGCATTACACTGGTGGCTCAAGTCCGTCCCTTACTGTGCCACATGTACAGCTGTGCTAGAAAAGGAAGCTATTAAATATATTAAAAAACTAGAAATATTACCAATAAAGATACCTCATCAAATATGTGGTCCCCATTTATCCATAAAGTAAAATGTTAAGGGTTTAATAACATATGAAAATCACTTTGAATTCAATAACATCACAAGCCCTCCTGATAACATTTAAAAGCATTTTCCCCTCAAAAGCTCCAATCAATTTTCTATAGTAGCCAGCAGAGAATTTCTGTAGGGAGAGACTACGAAATTAGAGTATTGCTCATGCCAAATTTATTCTAACTGTGATGCTGTCAAACACGAGGAATAAAACAAGAAACTTTAAAAGGTTATTTCATCCTCAAAATCACACGTGGGCCTATTTTCACTTGGAAAATTTATGTTTCAGAGAAAGCCTGAAGTACATTATTCATTAAGATTAAGAGTACTGTAAACGCAGTAAGAAATTTGAAGTTACAATATACTTAAAAGTTTACATTCACAAAACATTTTAAATATTACATGTTAAATGTCACCCAAAACTGTCAATTTGAAACAAATTATTTGGTAATTATCCATTTTTCATTTTAAATTTGATGAAGAACCCCTCGGGGGAAACTGAATGCCACTTTTTAGATATGAAATAATTTTGTTGTTAAAATCTTGGTATATATTCAACTTTACACTTTTTTAAAAACTTTTTCTCTCCTTTTAAAATATTTTCATCTCCTCGATTAGTTTAAATATTTACCATTTTCCTTTTGCATTCCTAGTATTTCTTATCTCTCTACCCTTTTATTCAACATATATTAAATCTTAGGTAAAGGCCTGATTTAAAACAAAACAAAACAAATACCAATCAAGACAAGCTTGTGGGCAGACATGTACAGAAAAGAATGAGACGGTTGTGTTAAAATATAAGAAATTAACAAGAACTTCAAGAAAATAATCATTATAAAAAAAGTTTTTAAAAGAGTAAATAAATTCAATTATGACTGAAAGAAATACCAAAACTATTTTGGAAATTTGAAGTCCTCTCGTAAGTTCAATCTGTACTTTTCTCCCATTAATTCCATTAATCTTAATGTTCTCTCAGACTAGAAAAATTTTAAGTTTAAGGAAGGCGTGAGTATACCTTTCTGAAAACATACTATTTTTTCAATTTAAGACACAATATCCTAGTGTTAATTTATATTTTGATTTTTCAGTTAAAATATATCTAACTCAAGCTCAAAAGTCACACTAAAAAGGCCACGCTTTCATTGAAGATATCATTAAATCATTTCATCACAAGAATTTATCATTGTCTCCAAATCTTACAGCATCCAGGGGTGGGGTACCTGCGGCCTTAAAGCCACATGTGGCCTTCTAGGCCCTTAAATTCGGCCTTTTGACTAAATCCAAATTTTACACAACAAACCCTTTTATTAAAATGGGTGCACGGCAGAGAAGGATGAAGCTTTTCTTGCCTCCTTTGGTACTTAAAAAAGAACAATCTTGAAATCAGAAGGCCGCAGGTTCCCCAAACACATCAGCTTTGCAGAACTAATTCTGAAGTAATACAAGAGCTCTGACATATGGCAAATTCAAAGGAAAATGTTAGTGCGTTCAAGGCTGAGGATGTTTGTACATACTTTTCAAACTTTTTTTTCTTTTAACAGTTTTAGACTCCATCAAGTTGTATTGGCCCTGAAAAATGGCTGGGCTAAAATAAAGGCTGTGTATAATGCTGAAATGAAATACTGAGTTCTAAAGCTGGTAATTTATCTTATGACAGCCACAGAGTTAAAAATATAAACATTACATTGGCAGATTTAATTTTGTGATCTTCCATTTCATGGAAAATTATAATGTTTAAGGATCATAATTTGTATGTATATTAAATTCTAGTTGGTCAACACTGTGATCTAGTCCTCTTATAGTGAAACAATGTTAATTTACTTAAAATCCGGTGCAAAATATTCAATTATTTAACAGATGTTTACTTCGAACAAAAATGAGAATAACGGATGGTAAATGACTCTGTTTAAAGAATGTCTCATCACAAGGGCTATTTTTACTTCAGATTCACGCAAATATGGTGCTTCAAACTGGGTCATATTTCAATCCAAAAAACCAATGCCCCGAGTACACAATAATTTCCAAGAACAGAAAACTGATAAATAAGATATAGTTAAATTCCCCAAAATTCAAAATAAATTACGTAACTTACTCTGTTTTCCTTCTTTGTTTGTCCTCAAAGATGTCATTGAGATTGATTGCCACCTGCCCTAAAAATTTATCCAGACCCACCAGGGACCTGTGCATAACTATGAGGAAAAGAATGTATTTCTCTGGATTCCCCTGCATTAGCAATCCAGGTAGCTCAAAGGAGGCCTCTTCCTTCCAGACTGGCTCAAGGGTTTTCTCAGCTACAGAGGTGGAGTACTTTTCCTTGCCCAGCTGAATTATAGTGTATGTGTCATTGGTGCCACTTTTGCCTTTTGGCTTCAGATCTTTGGCTTGAAGCACTGTGACCTGCACGTGGGTAGGAAACCACTTTTGGGCTTGCTCAGACAGCATCATTCTGTCCTTTTTCTCTGCACGGAGTTCACAGGCGCAGGCAGTGCCCCTCCCGGAGGAAGAGCCTAATTCCTTAATCACTGCATCCTAAGGGCACTTAACGGAGACAGGCAGGCTCAGGGCTGCCCAACTTCCCTAGGGCTGATGTCAAAACGCCTCACGGGGGCAGCCCGGGGGCACGGCTGCTCCGGGGGTCCCGTTTCCTCTGGAGAAACACAGGGGCCCACCATCACCTGGCCGCGCCGTCCAGGCCTCCCGCGCCTCGCGTCTCCACCTTCCCGCTGAGCCGGCCCCCAGCACGGCGCTCGGCGGAGGGCGGCTCCCGGGCCTGCCGGCAGGTGAGGCCTGGCCACCGGGGCCCGGGCGAAGGGCTGCGGAGATGGGAGGGAGCCCCACGCCCCAATTCTGCACCCCCGGCCTCCCGTCTGCCTCCTTGCGGCCAGGCCGCCTCCGTCTCCGCGCCTCCCGCCCGCCCCGCACCCGTCCACGGGCCCGGCCCGGCTCCTCCTCCGGACCCCGGTAATACGAACCGCCTGCGGCTCGCTCGGCCTTGCTCCCTCTAGCAAACCTCTCCCTCCTCTTTCCCCTCCTCCTCCCCCTCGCCTCGGCTCCTCCTCTTGGGCGAGGGCGGGTCGCCCGGGCGTGGAGTGGGACGGGGACGGAGTGGGACAGGGGCGGGGGACGTGGCCACCCCGGCGCCGGCAGGACGCGGAGCGAGCCGTGGGCTGCAAGCGGCGGGCGCAGAGCTCGGCCTGGCCCGGCCAGCGGCTCCTAGCACCGGGCGGGCGGCGACGGCACTTCCGGGTTGGCCTTCTCCATGTTGATCTCGGGAACGCGACGGGGCGGGGCCTCGGGGTCAGGGGTCAGTGCCGCCCTGGTTGCCGTGACGACCGGGGGCGCGCGGCGCGTGCGCTGCGGCCCGGGGCTCCACGCTGGGTTCTTGATGCTGGTTGGGCCTGGCGCAGTCCTGGACCCTGGGAACGTAGGGGCCTCGGGAGAGCTGGGGACTTCTCTTGAGAGGAGGTCATAAAGGCCCCGGAGGCTGCCCGAACTGGGGAGATGCCCAGTTTCGATCAGTGAGAGCGGGGAATCTGTCTTTCCTGGACCCTGGATGTCCTGTACTTTGCATGGAGGTGACTTTGGGTAAAATAATTTTATCTGATAAATGGTGGTGGAGTGAACCAATCCGGTCCATTGACTGAAAGCATACTTTTCTAAACCCAGACGAAGAGAGAGGGAAACAAATAAAAGATTCAAAAAGTAATAGGGATTAATAAAGAGCTCAGGAGGCACTGGACTAGCATCAGATAGCAGGTGATTCCAGCCCCACCTCTGCCACTACCAGTCTGTGGGACCTTGGTCGAGTCATTTTACCTCCCTGAGCCTTAGTTTTTTCACTGGTAAAATTGGGATCTCCATCGTGTCCAAGACTCCATCCTGACTCTACGGGCTCCACGTCAAAAGATCCCTTTGCTCCTCTATTTCTCAATTGCAAGAGACACGTATATACCTCTATTATAGCCTTTACTTGTGTTTATGCCTTATCTTCCCAAAGAAATTCTAAGTCTTTGGACTGCCTTGTGTCTCATGCAGCCCCTTCATAGTGCCTAGCATGCAGTAGACAATTTGTTGAATGATTTAATATCTTTTTTCCCTTTACAAGACTAATTTTGAGAGTAAAGCAATATGATAGATGTAAATGCACTTTTTAAACTTAAAATGGCCATGAAAGTATAAGGTATTATGTTTATTATTTTCAAGCAAGGTTTAAAACTTCTCCATTCAAGGCAGAATTTTCCATCCCTGGGAGACAAGAGTATGAAAAGGCCATGTGTGGAAAGCAGAACAAAATCATCATACTGCAAATATAGCATCTGGATCCCAGAGGGTGCAGTTGTCAACTTTAAAGAAAAATATTCTTAGGGATTTTTAGAGAGTACATTGGAACAGTCAATGGTGGAATTTCACCAGGATCTCCAGGGAGAAATAATTTGACGCCTGAAACTTACAAAAACAAAAAATAAGCATCATGAAATCAAATTTAATTAAGTTTAGAATTTTTATAAATTGCATTTTAGAAGTCTTCATGTCTCTACTAAAGGTTGTAATTAAGAGGCAATTAATTATATTAGTGGACGTGTGTTTCTAAAGAGCTTAAATTGTTTGGTAAGCTTTATTAATGATTATAAACTTGTTTACAAGTATCATTTCACTCATCTCTGAAATATAGCCATCTCTAGGGTGGAAATTGGCAGCAGTGGTTCACAGCAACGCAATAACATACTGCAACACAATTCAGAGAATACTCTAAAGGCAAGAGCTGAACAACTGGAATTACTAATTTCTCTTCCTGTAGCACCTAAATTTTTTTGAGTTTTCCCAAAACCTGGCTGAAGCCAAAATTGTTTAGTTTTACTACCTGGTAAGATCAGAAGTTATGACTATGTTTTTAAGCCAGAATTAGAAAATAACATATTTTTGCCCCTGGGGGAAGCAAATAAACAAACCAACCAAATGAGCAAAACAGAATCTGGAATCGCATTATAAAAAGGAAGTGATTTCCTATAGAGTGTTTCTCTTCTTGGATTATTTTTAAGAGAATAAAAACATGACGGCTGAGTCAAATTTATGTATGGTTGGCTCATAGTGAAAATAATGGCAATTATATAAGATTTAGGTGGATCAACGTGGTTCTGCCAAAATGTTTATTGTCTTGCAGTTCTAAAATTTCTTTTTACTAATTTTAAGGTATACATGGACAGTAATTTAAAAAGGAATGAAGGATTGCGTGCATAAGGACAACATACTAGAATTGAAGAGAGTCACTTTTTAAAATTATCCTGTGACTAATGATATATCTGGAAATGTTTGGTACAATTCCAAAATCAAGGGATTGGGAAAATAATGTATTTGATAGAAGGAAAATACTAAGAATTCTAATTTTAAACTGTTACAATCCCTGTGGCAATAAGTAAGAATTATTTGACCAGAAAGTTAAAATAGTGAAATTTATTCCTCAGAAGTGAAGAATTTCATGGATAAAAATATTTGCTAAGTGCTGCACCTTTCAGTAAAGTCTCATAAGGGGACTTATTGCAGGCATTGTAGAAGATTTTCCCTTTGGACAACAGCATCTCTAAAATCACATCTTGCAAATCTGTTGTAGAACAATTATAATGCTGTCAGTGTTTAAACAGCCCACTGGGTCAAGAGTGTTAGTGCTCCCACATACATTATGTAATGGATATTAATTATTTTCCGGGTAGAGATTAAGAAACATAAGGACAGTGAGAAGCTTTCCCGAAATATCATTACAATCTTCAGACTTCAAGTACACATGTACCTCAAATATATATACAAGTGAAATATATATAAAACTAATATACATAGGACAAAGCTCCAGGGGTATGTTGGAGATAGAAAGATAGATCAATCTGCACATAACCAGTCAAAAAGTAAAAGAGTATTTGGCAAATTGATTTGAAATTGTAATAGCAGTGAACTAGTATTTGGAGTTTTCTGGTGATTGTTTTGTTTTCGTCACTGGGTTGATTAATTTGTCTTCTGGGATTGGGCAGTGTGTAGACACAGTTTGTGATGCAAGAGAAGCAACATGGTATGTAGTGTAAGGAGTTCTAGTCGGCAGCCTGAGCCCTAATCCCAAGTTTGCTTTTTTATGACTAGCTACATCTCTGTAAGTAATTTTTCTTCTTTGGGCCATCTGTAAAATAAGAGTCTATTATGGCAGCCACCAAAGCATCCTCTAACATTTATTAAGTCTAAGTCGTATACGCACAACACAAAGAAGCAAATTGCATCATAATTATCTAATTGAATTTGGACATTATACTAAAGCAGATTTCCTTTTTATGTAACTTATTAATAAAGGATCCTCTAATTCAGGAGAAAAAAAATTCTTCAATATGTCCTGACAGCTCTCTTTCTCCCAAATGAAAGTAATTAATGATCACAGAAAAGAAGTAAATATGAGTTTTATTAATAGGCCCTGCATGAGAAAATTGACACCAACAGCTCAAGATTTAAAAGAAATTACGTGTAAGTGCAAGTGGTTTTGAAAAGCCTTAAACTTGTCACTTGTATAATAGTAATAAACATAACTTCTCTTAGTATTATTTGTAGTTTTTTTAAACTATGAAAACGTGGAGGGTGGTAATATTTTATAGAGCAGAATACGTATTTGCACGTAAGAATGTTTGGTGCGACATCTTTTAATTTTCTCTTCATACTATGATACTATTATGTTGTACAATTTTTGTTCCCATAACAGAATCAATGCATATTAATGAGCAGAATGGGAATTTATTTACTTTAATTGTTATATGGTATTGGGTGAGATAAATAAACCCCATTTAATCTTTTCTCCTTCCAAAGGACATTTAAATTGCTTCCAGTTTTTCAACTATTATAAACAATGCTACATAAACATCCATATAGGTCTCCTATGCAGATGTGCAGGGATTTTTTTTTAAATAATCATACCTGTTTTTGACAATTGACAATGAAATTATTGGGAGTTTCTGAGTTGATAGTGTGGAAAATCCACAGGCTTGAGAATTAGAACACTTGAGTTCTAATCCTGGTCTACAAGCTAAGGAGTTATAGACATTAGTTAATCTGTGTCTCAGAGACACCTTCCAACTCCAGAATTCTCAAAGTCTTTTATTACATTTACTGAGAAGTAGAGATTATTTCTATTGGAAGATTTTTGTGACCACTTAGATATGTGTCTTCAAAATTCAATTGTCTCATTGTCATGAGTCTTTCTGAAATCTTACCCAACATTGCTACCTGTGTGGATTTAGGTGGAAGTTAACAAGGACTGGAGAATTTTGATTATTCCTGAAAGAAATGATTATTAGAGTTACATAAACTTATCATCCTTATACTTTGTAAACATCTGTTAATTTTTTTAATCGTCATTTAAAATCTAGGACAGGGAATTTTTAAAAACAATAATGGATTTGAGTTATAATATTTCTGGAATATTCTGGGATATATGATATTTCTAGAATAATATGTCTGGAAATATGTTTATTTCGAGAGCATTAAACTGGTGAGCAGCTGGCAAGAACATTTGGTGGTGGTATTTTTCCCTCTACATGAGATCTTGTGTTCTCTCCCTTTCTACTTATTTGGTTAATGTTAAACAAAATGAAGAACTTTTTTTTTTTTTTTTTTTTTTTTGAGACAGAGTCTCACTCTTTTGCCTGGGCTAGAGTGAGTGCCATGGCGTCAGCCTAGCTCACAGCAACCTCAAACTCCTGGGCTCAAGCGATCCTCCTGCCTCAGCCTCCCAAGTAGCTGGGACTACAGGCATGCGCCACCATGCCCGGCTAATTTCTCTATATATTTTTAGTTGTCCAATTAATTTCTTTCTATTTTTAGTAGAGACGCGGTCTTGCTCTTGCTCAGGCTG